CAGAGCGGAGTTTAGGGCTATTGTACATAGGGTCGCTATGAGTCGCAGGCGACTCGACGGCACATAACAACAACAACAACAACATCTAAATATATGTAGAGAAATATGTAAGGGAGCTTTGGCGGCGTACTGAGTAATGAGTAGCACAGCCAACAAAAAAGTTGAATCCTCCAGCTGCCTCTTAGAAGAAGGGCAGTCTCCTTCCACATGATTTATAGCCTCTGAAAACGTGCTAGAGGGTCTGCTAGGAGTCTGTTCTGACTCAATGGCAATGAGTTAGGTATTCAAGTATCATTGACTCATAGCTGACCCTCCAGTGGGTTTTCAGAAGCAGTACATAGAATGGGAGTAGACTGCCCATCTTTCTTCCTGAGGTGCTGTCGAGACCCTATGAACAACAGATCTAAACCCTGTCCTATCCTGTGTCATTTTTATCATCTCTGATTGAGCCCATTGCTACCATCACTGCGTCAATCTATCTCATTCAGGGTCTTCTCCTCTCTGGCAGTCCATGGGATATTCAGTACTCTTCTCCTGAGGAGCCAGTTATATATTGATATTGTCTGCCAAGCCCAGAGCAGTCTATAATTTTTTAAAAGATTAGTCAAGGAATAAACCCTGAAGGCAGGAAGTGGTTAGTATTGATAGATGGGAAAAGTGGGTCCAGTAATTAATATTACAAAACAAAATACATATGAAAATATGTTCAATGAAAAAAACCAATCTGCTTTGTAAACAGTTATTCAAATAACAATCAAAAAAACACACACGAAGATCACACACAAGAAAACCCTATAGGGTAAGTTCTAATCACACAGTCACAAGGGTTCACTATGAGTCAGAAACAGCTCCATGACTCCCAATAACAACACGATGGATGAACAAAGAAGAATCATGGAGAGCCAAAAAAAAGGGAGAATGTCCTGGACAATTCTTTGTAAGGAGTATGAATAGAAAGGAGATATGTTGCTAGGAAGGGGGAGAACATTTAGAAACTGAAGCAACTCTAAAAGTGTTGCCTAAGTTGTTAACCACTTGGCCCTTTAAGGGACATCTATTTTTTTTTAAATAAGGAATAATATTGTGCTTTGATTATCATTCCTGCTGTGTAGTATGTTACGAACAATCTAAGTAGTATAAACTCATGAAAATATATTTATACAAAAGGCTAAAATCTTATGTAGTTTAATTTTACAAAGGTGTATCTTCATTTTATTTATTCCTGGTCTTCTAGAAAGACACTGATTGCTAACACTTTGATACGTATAACACAATAACGTGCACTCAAATGCAGATTAGAGTGAAACCTGCCTCATTAAAATACTTCCACCTGATTATAAACAGGGAAACTAAAAAAGCAATTTGGATGTCAGTTTTGGTGACTGTAGTGAACAGAGATCCCTCTGTCAAAATATGCTAAGCAGTACCATAAAAACTTAGTTTTTCCATTATGTGAAAGAAGATAAATACACACACACACACACACACACACACACACACACACACACACACACACTATCCTACTGTGGGGTTCTGTTTATCTGGTTGGTTTATGTTAAGATGTTTTTATTCAACTCTTACAAACATCTTCAAAGCCAAACCACTTGCCAAAAGGGAAAAGAGGAGGTGATATCTGAACCTTATAAAGGATTCAAGGGGAGGGAGCTGGCATTGGGGAGTGTGGCTTTCAGAAATCAAGCCACATTATCAGATTAGCAGCAGTTCTTGCCTTACGCCCGCCCCCACCCACTCACCTGCCTTCCCAAGCTTCTCCCGAAGAAAACCCAACATCGCTTCCAATCCCACCAATCCCTAGTCGAGGGGTGCAATTCATTCCGAAGTCACCCAGTGGAGCAGAGGTGATCCCAGTCACTGGGTTCAGTTTAGGTAAACCAGGTTAAGCCGATGGTAGGAGGCCTCGGCCACAACTTCAGCTCCGCGCCTATCTCCCCTAGACTCCTCAACCCCGGGCCTCTCCCGACCGCCAGGCGCCCGCAGACCCTTCCGATCACCACCCACCCATCCCCTGCGGGACCGCCCCACCCCATCACACCTGGGGTGGTGATGTTTGCCCCGCTCCGGCGCGCTGCAGCGAGAAGGCACAGGAGAAGAGGTAGAAGCGGCTGTGCGCGGGGCCCTCCAAGGCCAGGGAGGGCGCGCATGGCGTCCACGGGTTCTCTGCGGTCTTCGTGCGAAGCGAGCTCCTTGTCACGCTGCTGTCAGTGCCCTGAGTTCCTGCGCACGCTCGCCCGGTAGCCGGACACCCACCGCTGGTGAGCCGCGCAGGACCCTGGAGTGCAGGGGGCGGTGCCGGGCCTCCTCCGGGAGAAGCGCTCCGCCCTCGCGCCGGCCCCTCATCAATTATGCAGGCACGCTCGCGCCGGGCTGGGCGGCCACCCCCGCCCTGTCCTCTGAAGCCTCCTCCCTCCGGGCTCCTGCCAGATCCCCGCACAACTTTGCATTAGAGGCGGGGCAGGTGATGTCTAGTCCTTCTCCTGGGAACCTTACTACCACATACACTTATCTTTAGGACGCTCTCTACATCCTCCCCTTTGCAGATGTCTGAGCCTGATGCACTTATTTACTTTGATGAGTCAGATAAGAGCCTGGGGGTGGGGGCACTTTTCTATTCTAAGAGGACATCTTTAGGCGACCTTATTAAGAAGGCTTATTTTTGTTCAGGGATAAGACTCTGTCCATCTGTTCACATACAATCTGAATTTATCTTTCTTTGCTGTATGTGGCCTTCTTTTGCACCCGTCCCTCCAATCTCTGAAGGCTCAGCAGGTTCTCTTAGGAATAAGGTTTTCACAGTCTCAAGGCTCCATGGGAAGCATGTGCTTGTTTGTATTTTCGTTTTTCCTCTGTTGGCTTTGTATGATTAACATTGTTAAGGGTGCAGCTATAACTCAGAAAGCAAAACTTATGGAAAACTGCGCAAGATTGTTGACTTTCTTCAAACTGGAACACTATTGAAGATAATGAGATCCCTTACAGACAAGAAAGTGGCTTGATATTTTCAATGTTCCTGACCTAAGAAAACAGCTAAAACTTAATGCTTTATCAAAAAAGGGGTCGAGATTCCACATCACAAAATAAGACAGTAACAACCTTAACTAAACCAAACACACTGCCTTTGAATAGGGTCTAACTGGGAGTGACCCCTGAGAGTGCAAATTTTTATGAAAGTTGTAAAGATTTACATACACCTTCTTTTCCCTTGAGCTTCAGGTTTTATCTGAATCTTTAACTTTCTATTAGCAACCAGCTCTCTTAAGGCATTACCTACCAGGGCTTCTTAAAATAGTAATTTTTTTAAAAACCCAAACCAAAATTCATTGGTGTCCAGGCCAAGTATAACCATCTCAAAGCTGACCCTGCAGTAGGTAAAAAAAAAAAAAATTAAAAAAAAATATATATATCTCCCCTCTAATTTCCTTGTTATCCTTGCCTAGGGGTCATGCTAATCTTCTCTTTATTACTCAGTTTTAGTATTTGTAACTTACATATTTCAACAAACAGATGCAGCCCTGAAAGTGCTTACCATGTTGTGTCAAGAAATCTGGAAGACTGTTACCTGGCCAACTGACTGGAAGAGATCCGTATTTATTTGCATTCCTAAAAAAGGTGATGAAACAGAATGTGAAAATTATTGTACAATATCACTGATATCACATGCAAGCAAAATCTTGCTGAAGATTACCCAAAAATGACCAGGACATGGACAGAGCACTACCAGAAATACAAGCTGGGTTTAGAAGAGGTTATGGCACTAAGGACATCAATGCCGACATCAGATGATTCTTGGCTGAGAGCAAAGAGTGCCAAAAGAGTGTCTATCTGTGTTTCATTGACTATGCAAAGAATTTTGACTGTGAGGATCACAATAAATTGTGGCTAATATTGAAAAGACAGGGAGTCCCAGAACACTTGATTGTATGTGAAATCTATACTTAAGCCAGGAAGCAGCAGTCATAGACAGTAAAGTATGGTTAAAAATCAAGAAAACAGTGTGTGTCCTTTCTCCATACTTTTTTTAAAAATTAGTTTCAATGAACAGCTACAAAGATTTTGGACTTCCATTCATTCATTGTTGCACTTTTCTCCCCGCCCATCCCACCACCCCCACCCCCAGTTCTCTCCTCTCCTTGAAAAGCAAAAGAAAAACTCCTTCATTGGTATACAATCCCCCCATATACCTTTTTAATCTATATGTGGAACAGATTATTCAATAGGCTGAGCTTTATGAAGAGGGATGAGGCATCAGAATTGGAGGAAGACCCCTCCACAACTTGTGTGATGCAGATGACACAACCTTGCTCCTCAAACTGAGAAGGACTTAAAATGTATGCTGTAGAAGGTCAAGGACTACATTCTTCAATATGGATTGCATCTCAACATCAAGAAAACAAAGATTCTTTTTACCAGGCCAATTTACAGCATCATGACAGATGGAGAAAAGATTTGAATTGTTAACATTTCATCTTGCTCAAATCCATAATCAACACTCTTGACACTGTTGTTGTTGTTTGCCATTAAGTCACCTGTGACTCATAACAACCCTATGTACACACCTAATCTAATTGCCTCAGTTGCTATGTCAATCCATCTCATCTGGAGTCTTCCCCTTCTGTGCTGTCCCTTTACTCTTCTAAGCATGATGTCCTTCTCCAAGAACTGCTCCCTTCTGGCCACGTACCCAAAGTATGTGAGATGGAGCTTCAAAATCCTAGCTTCCAAGGAGAAACTTGGTTTCACCCTCTTCAAGACAAACCTATTTGTTCTCCTGGCAATCCATGGAACATTCACTATTCTTCTCTAATGCCGCAACTCAAAGACATCAATTCTTCTTCTGTCATCCTTAGTCAGCTGTCCAGATGTCTGATGCACAGCAAGTATTTGCAAACACAATGGCCTTGATCAGGTACACTTTAGTCTCCAGACTGGCATCATTGCTCTTTAGTACTTTGGAGAGGTTCCTGACAGCAGACTTCCCCCATATAATTCGTCTTTTGACTTCCTAACTATTGGTGCCAAGTGTACAGATTGTGGAGTCAAGCAAACTATAATTGTTAACAATCTCAGTCTCTTCTCCATCCATCATAGAGCTGCCAACTGGCCCAGTGGTGAGAATCTTTGTCTTCTTGATGTTAAGATTCCATCCATATTGAAGACTACAGTTCTGGACCTTCTGCAGTAAATGCTTCAAGTCCTCCTCAGTTTCCGCAAACAAGGTTGTATCATCTGTACAATACAGATTGTTGAAAAGCCTTCCTCCAATCTTGATGTTACACTACTCCTCATAAAGTCCAGCCTCCCAAATGATCTGTTCTGCATACAGACTGAAAAGGTATGGAGACAGCATGCATCCTTGCCACATTCCATTCCTAATTTTGAGCCATGTAGTGTTTCCTTGCTCTGTTCTGCCTCCTAGTCCAAGTATAGCTTTCACATGAGCACAATCAAGCGTTTTGCAATTCCCATTCTCCTCAAGGTTAGTCACAATTTATTGTGATCGACATAGTCAGATGCCTTTAACTAGAGGGTAAAGAGTTTGCCTTCCAACCCAAAGACACATGGTTCAAATCCAGCAGGTGCTCTGAGAGAGTAAGATGAACAAACTTTTGGCACTAACTGTCAGAAAAGTAAAAGATGAATTGTATTGGGGCAAGTCTGTTGTCTGGAACCTCTCCAGAGTGATGAAGAGTAAGTATGTCAATCCAGAGACTAAGGTGCATCGGATTCAGGTGAGGGTCTTCTCAATTAACTTGCTATTATGCACCAGAGAGCTGGACAATGACTAAGGATGACAGAAGAAGAATCAATGCCTTTGAGTTGTGGTGCTGGAGAACAGTATTGAACATACCATGCATTGCTGAGAGAACAAACAGGTCTGTTCTAAAGAGGATGAAACCAGGTTGTTCTTTGGAGGCAGAGATTTTGAAATTCCATCTCACATACTTTGATCATGCTGCCAGGAAGGCCTAGGTATTGAAGAGAGACATCATGCTTGGAAGGGTAGAGCATCAGTGCAGGAGAGGAAGACTCTGGATGAGATGGATTGAAACAGTAACTGAGGCATTGTGAGCAGATGTGGAAAAGACAGTGTTCATATGGCCAATATGAGTAATAGTCAATTCAATAGCACATAGCAACAAGGACAACAACAACATTCTTTGCGACATTACGTACAAAATATATTTATGTATTTTTTTTTAATTACCTCTGTTCCCCCACCATCTTTATTTTGAAAGTCAGATTTGGTACTCCTAAGTCTAAAGCTTTAGTGTCATAGACTCAAGCTGAAAGAACATTTTAGAAATTAACATTGAAAGTACTAACCACAAGTTTGTCCACTACAGCCAGAAATGGTTAATTTTTAATTGGTATCTCAAGGAAATAGACTCCCACAGGAACTGCAACAAAGAAAGTGAGCACAGTGGAGATTCTGAGGGTAACACAAGATAGGAAAGACTTAGATCTGGTCCACATAGTAGGGTAGCTATGAATCAGAGTTTACTTGATGCCACCTTACAACATGTATTACTAATATAACTCTATTTCCTTTTTAACATCATATAAACAAAACTTTAGAAAAGAATGTAGATTTAAAAAAATAAGATTGGGAGCATATGAATGATAAAATTCATTAAGCATATTAAGTAACTACTGATTGCCAAACTGGGAGCGCTAGTGGTCTAGCTGTAAGGAGTTGTACTTCCAACCCAAAGGTAGTTAGTTGGCTTGAATCCACCAGTGGCTCTGTGGGAGAAAGAGGAGCAATTTCCTTC